CTACAGGGACATAGCAAGGGGCCGATCCTCCCGCATTCCCAGAGGGCAGTGCCCGCCCATCCCCGTGGAGTCGGGGCGGGGCCGAGGGAAACGGGAGTTGAGGCGGGCGGGGGAAGAGAAATGCTGCCTCCGATGTGGGGCACAGAGGGCACGGGTTTACCCCGCCCCTTATCTCCTTTCCCACCCCCCCACCACCACAACGAACCCCTCCGGGGGCCCGGAGGGGGGGACAGGCGGGGGCCCTACGGCCGCGCAGCCGCTAGATGTCCCCGGTGAGCCGCGCTCCCGCCCGGCCAAGGGACATGGGGAGATGGGGGTCGGGTCTGCCTATGGAGGTGGCTCAACACGTTCCTCCCCCCCCCTTCCCTCCTTTCCTCCCCCCCATGGACACCCCCCGAACGCCGAGGGGACCCAACCCAGCGCCTGCAGCCCCCGGGAACACCCTGCCTCAGTTTCCCCTTGCTGGCAATGGGGGGACAAGTGAGGTCCTATGGGTGGGCAGCAATGCCTGGCACCCAATACAGGGCCCATCACACTACAGGGGGCTGCCCCACCCTGCGGGCCAATCCGCCCCCCCCCCCCCCCGTCGCTAGGGATGCTCTGCAGCCCCCCACTCGAGTCAAGGCAGGGATGGGCAGCAGGGTTTGGTGCCAGTCCCCTCCATCCCCAGTACAGCCCCTGATCCCGGGGGCAGGATCCCTGCGGGGTACCTGGTGCGCGGGTGCTTGCAGTGCAGGTTCACTCTGAAGCTCCTGCTGTCGCCGTCGCTGCCAGGCTGGCAGGGACCCGAGCCCTGGGTGCACGGGAACCACTCTGCTGCCGGGCTGGCACCGTTCTCCAGTGCGACCGAGCTCCCATCTGCTGAGCAAAGCACAGAGAGCCCCGGGGGTCAGCCCGGCACCCGCTGCCCCGCGCTGCCGTGGGTGCCCGCAAGGCTCTCCATGGGGATCCACACAGAACCAGGCTTAGGAAGGACCTGAAGACCACATTGTTCCCTCCACCCCATGGTTTGGGGACCACCATGAGATGCCCACTCACAGGGTGGCGTTTTGCGGCAGGACACCCCTTTCCTCCCTGCCCATCCAAGGCAGGGCTTCTCCCCATACATATGCATGCATACATGTGTATGCACCTCTGCCTGCTCTGGGCACCCGGGCACACACATCCAAAACTGGGGCGCACAGCGGAGCCCCCCCAACCCATCGCAGCTCCCCCCATGCCAGCACAGCCGCCTGTCCCCCCCTCCCAGAGCCATGTGAATGCCTTGCCTGTTGGCTCCCTCCCCCAGCGCACACCCGCAGACACACACACGCAGCCGCTCGGCGTGATCCAGGCTCTTCCCGGTGTCTGGATTAGCGTGACAACTTATCAACAAGGCAGGGAAAGAGAATTCAAACCTGTCAGTCCATCCGCATCCCCCCCTTCCCGCCTCCCCGCCAGCCCTTGGGTGCAGCGCTGGCACCGAGGAGATGCGGGCACCTCTCGGGCAGGGTAGAGTTACACGGAGGGCAATGTGGAGCAGGAAAATATGCGCTCGAAAGACCGGTCTGGTCTCTGATGGAGCTGCTCAGTGTGCCCGCGGAGCTGTTGGAGGGGAGGCAAGGCAGGAAGGAAGCAAACGGGAGCTTTTCCAGCACAGCCGTTGGGAGCTGGGAGCTGGTCCCTGCCGCACACGCTGCACACAGCTCCGTGGGGAGGACTGGGGCGTTGTGGGGCGCATCCCTGCGCTGGTGTCCTCCCATGTGCCCATGTGGATGCACTGACAAACCCTATGGGATGCCCATGGCGTTTCCAGTGGGCACCCATCAGCGTGCACCCATGGGTGCTGGGGGCGGTGGGCAAGTCCCCCCTGCCCTCCCCCTCCAGCCACCTCTTACCCCACAGTAGCTCCTGCCCTCGTCTCTGCCGCCATCCCCATCACGTGTGCGGTGCCAAGGCGGGGGACACTCCTCCCTCCCCATAAACCACCACCACTGGGGACCACCTGCACCCCACCATGGGGATGGGCAGCACCCACCATTGCGGTGCTCCCCAGCACCCAGCCCCGAGCCATGGGGTGCAGGATAGGGGCTGCAGGATGCTGGCCACGCCACGGCGCTCACTTTCACCTCCCTGCTCAGCCCCAGGCAGGCGCCACATGTTTCGCATTAGGCTCTCCGGCCCTCGCCATTCCTGGCTTGTTCACCAGGGGAAGGGCCTTTTCCCTTCTCTTTTTTTTCCCTTTTTTTTTCCCCTTTTTTCCCTTTTTTTTCTCCCTCTCCTCCGTGGTTACAAAACACCAGCCGAGACCACACAAGCGAGGAGGGATGGAGGAGAGAGATAGATGGGCGCTGCAACGGGCCTTTGGGGGGGGGGAATAAGGAGGGGGGAAGCTGGTGAGATTGCAGTCACCTCCACTTCCCAGCTCCTGACCCCGCAGCCCTGCAAAGATAACAGCCCCCAAAGAGTGCTGACTCGCCTCGCAGAAATCCAATATCCTCGCCTGGTGAACTAATCGACTACCTGGGCTCACCCCCTCCCCTGCCCTGGCTTAATCCTGCTGCTGCAAAGCTTTAATTAGTTGAACGGTTTCAGGCTTGATGGCGGTGAGCAGCGTGGTCAAACCCCCCCTCCTTCCATCCAGCACAGGGCTCCTGCTTGGGTGGCACCGTGACGGTTTGGGGCACCAAACCCTCCCCCTTTACCCCCCGAGGCTGCCCGCACCCACCCGCGCCCCTCAGGGCTGCTGACAGAGGGGGGACATGGACGGGCTCGCTTGGCACCGGCGCGGCGGCGCAGGGACAGCCCTGCAAGACACGGACGCGGTTTGGTGCCCGGCTCCGAGGCCACCCAGACGTCGGGGTGGAGCCGGAGATGCCATCGGGAGACAGGCGGGCGGCGGGGACACGCCGCACACATGGGGACACGCTGGCCTGCTGCCTCCCACCCCGCCCGCAGCACCGGGGATGGGGTCCCCCCATCACCCAGCGCAGACAGGAGGGGTTTGGGTGGCCCTAAACACCCCCATGTGGGGGGGGGGGGGGGGGGCTCTGGACATCTGAGGTGCTCTGGACATCTGAACATCTGGGGTGGTGCGGAGGTGCCCCCCCACACACACACATCAGGGGGTGTCCCAGCCTTGTGTGTGCCCTTGCTGCTGGGCAGTGCCTGTCCCCTGCACACAGCGGGGGCACGGTGGAGGCTCCCCCCCCGCACACGCACATCAAGGGGGGCACCGTGGGGCAGGTTCCTGGTCCCCACCGCCCGCCGCTGTCCCCGCGGTGCCCTCGCCCGCTCACCCGCACCCCCACGAGTCCTCCCGGCCCCGTCCTGCTGACACCAATGGAAAATCCCCTCCAGTGACAGCTTCCTGGCAGGCGCTTCCCAAGGTTTCCAAGGGTTTCCGTGTTCCCCAGCCAGCCCCCCCTCCCCCCGACCCAATGCGGGGGGTCGGGCAGCAGGAGGACCCCTCCCGCCTTCATCCCCAGCACCCTGCCCTCAGCATCAGTTCATGCGTGTCCTGCTCCCTCCTCTTCCTCCCCATGCACTGGGCATCCCCTGCCCTCCTCTGGCTCCCACCAGCAACAGGGTGATTTGGGATCCCACCTAGGGCACCCACCGGCCTTGGGCACCCACTGCCTTGCACAGATGGGTGAGCACAGACCCCTCCTTCGGTTGTCACCCCACGTGTCACCATGTCCCCCCACTGCCTCATGTGCTGCGCTTGTCATTAGGAGACAGAGCAGATGGTGCCTGGGTTTCATCTTAGGTAATGGGTCCAGCCTTGCTGCTTGGCCACGAGCAAGGGGCCTGCTGCTTGGCCTCCCTTCATGGCGCCACCAATCACCGGAGCAGAGGCTTTTTGGGGTTCCTCACCGCCCCAAGGAGCTGATGCGGGAACACATCCCCCCTCAGCGCGGTGCCAGGGTGCGGCACTGCTGTGGGAGGAGATGGAGATGCTGGGAAGGGCTTGGCTGGTGTGAGGGGGAACACATCTGGAAACACGGCCCCAGGGGAGAGCTGGGGCTGGGATCCACCCTCCCACAGCACCCCTGGGTGCCGTGTCCCAGGGTCAGGCTCAGGCACCCGCCCTGGCACTGAGGAGGGGGCCCTGGGACTGCTGGGCTAAAAAGCCGGGGGTACCTGTGGGTTTTGGCACCCCACAAGGGGGGGATGTCACCTCAGTGCCAAACCAGCTCTGAAATCCCTGGGAATGCTGACGCCCCCGTGCTGCTGGGGACGATGCTGCTGACGCCAGGATGCTGGTGACATCCTCCAGACCTGGTGGTCCTGGAGCTGGTGGGACCCTGGATGGGTCCAACCCTCAGCCCTCTAACGTGTCACGGTGCCCTCGACGTGGGCAGGGATGCAGTGGAACCATCTCCCTGCACGAACCATCCCTGGGGAAAGGACCATCTCCCCTGCAAGAAGCCATCTGCCCTGCAGTTCCCACGTCCCCTGCCACAAGCATCTCCCCTGCAGTGATAATTCTCCCCTGCAATCACCTCCCTCTGCAAGAAGCCATCTCCCTGTGCCAGGACCCTCTCCTCCTCCTCACAGACCCGCCTGGCTGCAGCTACCAGGGTAAATGGGACCGCGCTTCCCTCCATGCCCCTCAGCATCACCACCCAGCGTGCACGCAGCCCCTCTCCACCCCATTGCCCTTCACCCCACAGGGGTGTGACCCTGCTCCGTGGCTGGGGGTGGTTGTGGGGCCCGGGGGGTGCCTGTGGGAGGGGAATGGATGACAGATGGACTGCAGAGATGGTGGCACCTCGTCCGGCTGGAGCCCGGAGCCGCGGTTCAGGGCTAAATTTAGCTGCTTCCCTCGGTGCCAGCTTTGTTCCCCCGCCCCGGCGAGCAGCCGGCCTGGCCCCCTCCCCTGCCCTGTGCCTGCCAGGGACACCCAGCACCCCCCTTTTGGGGTACCAGGCCCTCTTCGGGGTACCGGCTACTGCTGTACCCACATCTCCCCGCTGTTGCCAAAGGGTGGCTTGGTCCCAGCACGCCCTAGCCCCCCCCTCAACGCGCCGCAGGCCTGAGGCTGCGCAGATGGCCGCGGCCCCCCTCTCCGCGCTCCCTGTTATAGCCACAGCATGAGTCACAGCCCCGGTGTGTCCCTGCCCATGCCGGGTCATGGAACACCGCGGAGGGGGCTCCGTCCGCTGCCAACGCCACCCGCTACGAGCCCTGTGGCACCCAGGGCGGCTCCGCAGCCCCCCGGCACCCAGTGGGCACCCCCGGGAAGCGGTGCTGGGGTCCCGCTGCCTGCGGGCGCTGCAGGGCCGCGGTGAGGTGCGGGTTAACGCCAAGCGGGGCCGGGATCCTGCGAGGCCAGTAACATTTGGAAGGCGCCAGATGGATCCGTGCCCATGCCGAAGGCACAGCCACGCTCCCCCGGCGCTGGGGCTGGGGGGCTGCCCGGGCCGGCAAAGGGGCTCCCGGCGGGATGCGGGAATGCGGACCACGAGCCCAGCGGGGGTCCCGGACCACCCCGCGCCCATCAGCACCCCTTTGCTTGCAGCCCCACCGCAGCGGGGCCGGCATCCCCACTGCACCCCGCTGGTGGCGAGGTGGGACCGGGGGGTCTGGGCGGGGGGAGAGCAGCCGGTTGCCTCCCTTGGCCAATTTTAGTAACTGGCTAGACAAGAAGAGCAGAAGGGGCCGGGCAGGATTCGCTGGTGTCAGGGGGGGTTGGGTGGATGGGTTTTTTCTATTCCCTTTTCTTTTTTCCTCTCTTTTTTCCCTGTTTTTTTTCGTTTTGTGGGAGGCACACACGAGTTGAGCGGAAACTCCTGGCTGCAGATCCTGTTTCCTGGGAGATGCAGCGTGGTGCAGGGCCGGCTGGGGCCGAGCTGGGGTGTGGGAGCCACTGGGGATGGTGCCAGCGCTGGTGCGCCAGGGTAGGGGTGTGGGGAAGAAAGGGGGAGCAGCACCTTGGCACCCTGCGTACAGGGGTGGGCAGGGAGGGGATGCACCCACTGGTGTGGGCTGTGTGCACAGGCACACACATGGAGGGAGGATGGCGCACACATGGGTGCAGACAAGCACAGGTACATGTGCACGTGTGCACCTACCTGGGTGCAGGGGCACCTGTGGGCATAGGAGCATGCAGCATGCACATAGAGGGTGCACATGTGTGTGCACACAGGTACACACGCATCTGCCTGGGTGCAGGGGCACCCATGGCTATAGCAGCATGCAGCATGCACACAGATGGGTGCATACATGTGTGCGCACAGGTACATGCACACCTACGTGGGTGCAGGGGTACCCACTGGAACATGCAGAGTGCGCAGAGAGGGGTGCACGTGTGCGCGCATGGTACAAGTACACATGTACCTACATGGGTGTCCCCACAGGAACATGCACAGGCACTGGTGTGCACACAGGTGGGTGCACACTGGTGTGCACAGGTACACGCACATGGGTGTGCAACGTGCGCACGCAGGATCACACCAACACAGGGTACAATGCACCACCATGCTCCTGCACCCTCCCTGCCATGTACCCAGGGACCCACATGTCCCCAAAACAGCCAGGGGACCCCCATCCTTTGGGTACCCGCAGGAGGCCATTGGCAGCTCATTGGATTCTGCCCCGTTCAGAAGAGATGGCCCCAAAACGCCCTTTTCCCTGTTTGGGGGCTGTGCTGGCTCTCAAGGAGCTGAAAGGTTGGAGCACTGGGGATGTGGGGATGAGGGGGAAACTGAGGCAGGGAGCAGGGTGGGCAGCGCCTGTGGTGAGGATGGAATCAGGAAGCTGCAGCCAACTCTCCCCATGGATGCAGGCATCCAGCCCCCCACTCTGCTCCCACCCAGCTGCCCTCCAGGCTCTGGTTACATCCATGTGACACAGCGCATCCTGGGGGGCCAGGCTCCAGGAACGGGGGGATGAGGGCACGCAGCTCTCCCAGCATCACTGATCCACGTTAGGAACCTCAGAGCACACACACCTATAGACACACCTATCCCCCCCATCCATCCTCACCGGGGAGCTTCCCATTAAGACTGGAAGAACACAAGTTGGCAGCAGAGCCCCGGCGCGGCTCATACACAGCCTGTCACTCACACATCACTTTGGAGATGCCCATAAATTGCTTCATTACCTCTTCTAATTGAGGAGAACGCAGCTGCTGTGGGGCGGTGACAGAGAGCCTTCCCTTTGAAGGATGCCTTGCTCTCCAAAGACGGGTCCGGCAGAGCTGCAGAGCCCCCCCCCCCAGCATCCCAATAATAAGAGTAATAATAGTAATAATAGGGATAATAACAGGATCTGAGCAGGATCCCTCAGCGAAGGGCAGCAGGGCTCACGTGTGCTGGAGTTGCCTTGCAGGAGCAGGGAGGAGGCATCAGTGGGACTAGTACCAGTGGGGAAACTGAGGCACAAGGGAGGTGGCACCATGAAGAGCGAGAGGAAGGGATGCAAACCCCTGCACCAGGACCTTTGTGGGGACCATGGTGGTGGCATTGCTTAAGGCCAACCCCAAGCGCAGTGGGACAGAGGATGGAGCGTCCCCTTGCCCCATGGTGGGGATCTGGGGGGCGAGGGGGATCCACAGGGCACCGAAACTCCCTGGGGAACTTCCCACCTTGCTCCAGAGCTCCATGCACAGAGCCTGGGTCTCTGCCGCCCTCCTGTGCCCCCAACCCCTGCGCCCCATCCCCACTGCAGCCCCCCAGCTTTGTGTGGCAGGCGGCGAGCGGCTGCGGCTGGGCTCGGTCCCCTTGCAGGATACTGCAGAAGGATTTACTGTATTGCAGCTTGTGCTGGCTGCAGCCCAGCGCACAATAGATTAGCTGTAGCCCAGGGCAGCACGTTGTGGGGGAAGGAAGGAAGGTGGGATTCATTCGGATGCTGATTGCAGGGCATTTGCTGCAGTATACTGCAGGATCCAGACCCCCCACCATCCCTCTCCAGCCCTGGCACACAGGGACTTCGAGGGGCTCCTGTGTCCCCTCCCCATCCCCACTCATCAGATTGCCTGGCACGGCTGCTCACCATGGGCACGGGTGCCCACGTGGGCTGGGGGTACCCTGCTTGTCCCCAATCCCCATCCTGGGGGGCTGTGTGGTTCTGGAGGGATGCTGCTGGGGACACCAGGCCCCCCTCGCCGGGTGCGACGGCACAAAGCTGGTGCAGGGAGGAAGATGAGGATTGCAGCAGCATTAATTGATCGCGATTAATTCAGCTCCTACCTCCCCGGGTGGCAGGGAGAGGAGATGCCGAGACAGATCCAGCCCACAGAGCTCCCCAAACCGCTCCGCTCTCCCCCGCACCCACCCAGGCCTGGGGACCCACGCTGCGTGTCCCTAGGGATGTCGGGGGTGCTGGTGGGGGGTGCCCATGGATGTGGTTGGGAATGGGTCCTTGGGATGGACCCACCTCCCCGGGGTGCTGGTGGGCGAAGGGGGGGGTGCTGGTGGTACCCAAGCCCTTGAGGATGCAGGGATGCAGGCACAGCGGGAAATGATGCTCAGGGGAGCAGACGTGCCAGGCGGCACCGGTGGCCTCGTGGTGACACCAGGGCACTTTTGGCAGTGCCACCAGCCGGTGGGTGCAAACCAGGGGGCCCAGCGGTGCTGCTGCCACCCCCCCCCCCGAGCACCCAGCAGGGGCAGGCACCCCACGGCCAGCACCACCGCGAGACCCCAGGAGCCGCCTGGATTTGCAAGGGGAGTTTGGAGCCTGCGGCTTCCAGCTCCATAATCCTACGTGTGGGATGCAGTTTCCACAGCAACAGCGGGTCAGAGGGCAGGAGGGGAGCCGGCTGCTCCGCTCGGGATTGCGATTGTGCCAAAGCTGCCGGGGCGAGGTGCCGGGGCCGCAGCGGCGCGGGGGCCGCGTGGGGCTGGGGGAGGCCAGGCTGGTGCTGCCGGGGAGGGGAGAGCAGCTCAGTGTGGCGTTGTCAGCAGAGATGTCACTGATGTCTGCAGGAGCAGCAAACTCTCCTTAACCCTTGGGCAGCTGGTGGCGGGCGAGGGGATGAGGATGCTGCGGACACAGGGACCATCTCTGCCACCTTCTTCCCTGGTCACCTCCATCCCTGGTCACCTCCATCCTTGGCTACCTCCATCCCTGACCACCTCCATCCTGGTCACCTCCATCCCTGGTCACCTCCATCCCTGGCCACCTCCATCCTTGGCTACCTCCATCCCTGACCACCTCCATCCTTGGCTACCTCCATCCCTGACCACCTCCATCCTTGGCTACCTCCATCCCTGGCCACCTCCATCCCTGGCCACCTCCATCCTGGTCACCTCCATCCCTGGCCACCTCCATCCTGGTCACCTCCATCCCTGGCCACCTCCATCCTTGGCTACCTCCATCCCTGACCACCTCCATCCCTGGCCACCTCCATCCTGGCCACCTCCATCCTGGCCACCTCCATCCTTGGCTACCTCCATCCCTGACCACCTCCATCCTTGGCTACCTCCATCCTGGCCACCTCCATCCTTGGCTACCTCCATCCCTGACCACCTCCATCCCTGACCACCTCCATCCTGGTCACCTCCATCCCTGGTCACCTCCATCCCTGGCCACCTCCATTCTTGGCTACCTCCATCCCTGACCACCTCCATCCCTGACCACCTCCATCCCTGACCACCTCCATCCCTGGCCACCTCCATGCTGGCCACCTCCATCCTGGCCACCTCCATCCTTGGCTACCTCCATCCCTGACCACCTCCATGCCTGACCACCTCCATCCTGGTCACCTCCATCCCTGGTCACCTCCATCCCTGGCCACCTCCATCCTTGGCTACCTCCATCCTTGGCCACCTCCATCCCTGGCCACCTCCATCCCAGGTCACCTCCATCCACAGCCACTGTCCCCACCAGCAGGCAGAGGGTGATGCAGGACCCACACCGTGGTCACCACCCAACCCATGCCATGCTCTGCACCTCCCCATGGCTCCAACCCCACGGACAAGAGCATGTGGCCCCATGCTGATTGCTGGGGACAAGACACAAGCACCCACCCTGCCCCGGGAGGTTTCGCCATGGCTGCTGGAGGCTTTCCCACCTCCCAGCTGGCTCCGGTACCTGGGATTGCTGCTGGGAAGCGCTGACATTGCAGGAGCTGGAGGCCGGGGCCGGGGCAGCCGGAGCGGGGTCAGCACAAAGCCTCTGGTTCCACTCGCCCCTGCCAGCCCCCACAGACCTTTTGTTCCCATTCAGCTCTCACAGCCCCCGGGGCTCTTCTATGGGGGGGGGCAGTCCCCCCAGGTAGAGTGGGATGAGGCAGTAAGCACCCAACATAGCTCAGGGCACAGGGGACCTGTGCAGAGATGGGGATGTGGGTGCATCCTTCCCCAGTGTGGTTGCTGCTCTGTATGGGGCATCTGAACTGGAACCTGAACCCCCCCGATAGCATTGGGATGCTGTGGAGGGAGAGGGGAGAAAGGCAGCACCCCCATGTCCCTGAGCATCACTGGATCCCCAGCTCCAGCACACAGCCCAGGGGAGGCGATGGATGCTGCACATCACTGGGGAATGGGAACAGAACCAGTGCTCCCAGTGCTGACAGCCACAGGGACTGGGAGGATACAGGGCACAACCCGCTGCCCCATTCCAGCATCCAGCACCCTGGTGGGGACACAGAACGGCCAGCCACAGGGTGACAGCACCGCAGACCCCAGCAGGTCCCCATGGAGGAGCTGGGGCTGGGCAGGTCTGTACAAGGCCAGGGACAATCCCAGCCTCCAAGGGCTCTCAGCTGGGATTTCCTGAGCGGGAACTGGGTTGGATGTTGCAAGGCTTCATCACTGCTGCTCCAGCAGCTCCTCAGACCCACGCACGCATCGGCCTTGAGGCTGCCCATCAGCCACCAGCCTCGTCCCTCTGCTGAGTGCTCAGTGAGCACAAGCACCAAGCTGGGGCCTGGAAGAGCCTCCAGGGTATGGGGAGCTGCCTCCTGTCCCCCAGCATCCCACCATCCGCCCTCCAGGGATGCAAAAACCCAACCCCAGGCACAAACCCACCTGGGGATGCAAACCCATCCCTGAATCCAAACCCATCTCTGATGCAAACCCATCCCTGGGTACAAACCCATCTCTGATGCAAACCCATCCCTGGGTGCAAACCCATCCCTGAATCCAAACCCATCTCTGATGCAAACCCATCCCTGGGTACAAAACCATCTCTGATGCAAACCCATCTGGGGATGCAAACCCATCCCTGAATCCAAACCCATCTCTGATGCAAACCCATCCCTGGGTGCAAATCCATCCCTGAACCCAAACCCGTCGCTGGATGCAAACCCATCTCTGATGAAAACCCATCCCTGAATCCAAACCCATCCCTGGGTGCAAACCCATCTCTGATGCAAACACATCCCTGGGTGCAAACCCATCCCTGAATCCAAACCCATTCCTGGGTGCAAACCCATCTCTGATGCAAACCCGTCCCTGGGTGCAAACCGATCCCTGAATCCAAACCCATCCCTGGGTGCAAACCCATCTCTGATGCAAACCCATCCCTGGGTGCAAACCCATCCCTGGGTGCGCAAACCCATCTCTGATGCAAACCCATCCCTGAACCCAAACCCATCCCTGAATCCAAACCCATCCCTGAATCCAAACCCATCCCTGGGTGCAAACCCATCTCTGATGCAAACCCATCCCTGAACCCAAACCCATCCCTGAACCCAAACCCATCCCTGGGTGCAAACCCATCCCTGAATCCAAACCCATCCCTGGGTGCAAACCCATCTCTGATGCAAACCCATCCCTGAATCCAAACCCATCCCTGGGTGCAAACCCATCCCTGAATCCAAACCCATCCCTGAATCCAAACCCATCCCTGGGTGCAAACCCATCTCTGATGCAAACCCATCCCTGAACCCAAACCCATCCCTGAAACCAAACCCATCCCTGGGTGCAAACCCATCTTTGATGCAAACCCATCCCTGAACCCAAACCCATCCTTGAATCCAAACCCATCCCTGAACCCAAACCCATCTCTGAATCCAAACCCATCCCTGATGCAAACCCACCCCTGAATCCAAACCCACCCCTGAATCCAAACCCATCTGTGCTAGCAAAGCCCTCCCTGGTAGCAAACCCATCCCTGCTACAAACCCATCCCTGGTACAAACTCATCCCTGAATTCAAACCCATCCCTGAATCCAAGCCTATCCCTGACACAAACCCATCCCTGAATCCCAGTGCATCCCTGCTAGCAAAGCCCTCCCTGGATGCAAACCCATCCCTGGTACAAACTCATCCCTGAATTCAAACCCATCCCTGGTACAAACTCATCCCTGAATTCAAACCCATCCCTGGTACAACCCCCTCCCTGGCTGCGATCCCAGCCGCAGGGCGCTGCACCCCATTACCTCACCTCTCATCCCCAGCACCCATCTCCTTCCCCAGCTGCCCCAGTCCAGCCCAGACCCCCCCTGCTGCCAGGCTCGCCCCCCGGAGCCAGCAGCCAGGTCTGCCCCCCCTCTCCCTGCCTGAGCTCAGCGTATTTAGTGCTTTTAATTGCTGTTAATAAATCAATCCCTCCAGCCCCTTAAATCATGTTTGTGGCTTCCCTCGCAGCGTCCCTGCGGCCGCACTGCTCTGGAGCCTGCTGTCTGCAGCACTGCCCGGGGGGGCCTCATCCTGCCCATCCCAGCACCGCCGGGCTGCTCCTCAGCCCTGTGCCCAGCAACAGAGGTGATGGGGTGCTCTGCCTGCCCATGCCTCAGTTTCCCTCCCTGCATGGGCTGCTTGCTCTCTCCCTGCTTTAAGTCCTCCCCCCCTGTATCACTGTGCTTTAAGGGAGCACAAGTCCCTCCTCTTGCTGTGCCCATGGCTCCACGCTCCCTCAAGGGCACAAGCTTTGCCTGGCCCCAGGCAGGATCAGCACAGCCCCATCCACCTTGAGATGCCTTCCCAGTGCTGCAGAGGGGTGATGGTGACACCCATCCAGATGACGGCACCCCTATCACCTACCCAGCCATTACCAACGCCCCGCAGCATCCCATGGTGCACCCATCGCCGCGTTCTCCTGCATCCCACCACCCTGCTCCGAGGACTGTCACTGTGCTTTAAGGTACTCCAAGGGGGCACAAGTCTCTTCTCTTGCTGTGCCCATGGCTCCACGCTCCCTCAAGGGCACAAGCTTTGTCTGGCCCTGCTTGTGACACCGCAGTGCTGCAGAGAGGTGATGGTGCCACCCATCCTGATGACAGCATCCCTATCACCTACCCAGCCATTACCAACGCCCACAGCATCCCATGGTGCACCCATCGCCGCGTTCTCCTGCATCCCATCCATCCCACCACCAAACCCTGCATCCCACCCATCACCTCACCAACCACTCCATCCCCACCAGCATGCTCTATGGAAGGGATGCACACCCAAACCCAATACTGCTTGAGGCTGGGGGGCAGATGTGACCGAGCCGCCTGTGCACGGCTTTGGGCGCAAACCCAAAGTCGGCAGGGCTCGGAGGGAAGAGCTCTAACCTTGACACAGTTGCAGCAGTCACTAATAGCAGGCAATATGCCTGTTCTTGGGGGACTGTTGCAGTTGCTAAGATACTGGCAGCCGTGTGAATGGAAATGGGTCAGTAAACCTGTGGAGAGATAGTGTGACACTGGAACCGGCACAGCTGTTGCAGCCTACATCGAAATCCCACCCTTTCAATATTTATCACTCCCCGCCTTCGGTTCCTTCCTCCCAGCGATTTTCCACGTCGGGGTTTTTGTCCTGGCCTTGGGAGAAACCACCCTGAAGGTGCTTCCCATCCATGGGAGACGGGATGGGCTGGGAGAGCTGGTGCTGGCTGAGGAGGGAGGGGAGAACCGCGGCTTTGGGGGGTGTCCCCCTCCCTGCTCTGGGAGCAGGATGGAGCCAGTTTCTTGGAGAGGTTTAACAGGAAACAGGCTCTAATCCCCCTGGTAGGAAAAAGGGTGAAAAGGTCAATTTACTTCTGTCCCTCCTTTAGGCACTGTGGTGAAATTACACACTGGCTGCGCAGGGCTGGGAGAGGAGGGCGAGGATGTGGTTGGTGCCTGTCCTTGGCTGGCTGCACCCATCCCATCCACCCGTGTGTCCGTCCGCTGCACGAGCAGCGCACATGCTTGGAGCTGCATCCCCAGTCGTGCCCCATCCCGACCCCGCGGCACTGCTGGAGATGGGATTCGGCTGCAGGTGTCAAGCGGGGAGGAGCACCGGACATCGCCCACATGGTCCAGAATCCCCCTCAGTGCCCCAGCACCGCCGGCCCAAAAGCTCCAGCGATGTCCCCCAATGCTCCAGCATCTTCCTTAATGCTCCAGCAGCCTCCCTGATGCTCCAGCGTATCCCCAAGTCGTCCAGTACCCCCCAAATGCTGCAGCACCCCAAATACTCCAACATCTCCCCAGTGCT